TTTATGTTTACTCTAACTGTGCGGCAGGATTAGTCATGATTACCCTAACTAAGATAATGGGATATCTGTACTTAATCTAACTGCGAGGCTGGATTAGTCATGATTACCACAACTAAGATAATGAGATATTTGTATTTAATCTAACTGCGAGGATGGATTAGTCATGATTACCACAACTAAGATAATGGGATATCTGTGTTTAATCTTACTGCGAGGCTGGATTAGTCATGATTACCACAACTAAGATAACGAGACATCTGTATCTAATCAAACTGCGAGGATGGATTAGTCATGATTACCACAACTAAGATAATGGGATATCTGTATTTAATCAAACTGTCTGGATGGATTAGCCATGATTACCACAACTAAGATAATGGGATATCTGTATTTAATCCAACTGCGAGGCTGAATTAGTCATGATTACCACAACTAAGATAACGGAATATCTGTATTTAATCTAACTGCGAGGATGGATTAGTCATGATTACCACAACTAAGATAATGGGATATCTGCATGTAATCTAACTACGAGGATGGATTAGTCATGATTACCACAACTAAGATAACGGGATATCTGTGTTTAACCTAACTGCGAGGATGGATTAGTCATGATTACCACAACTAAGATAATGGGATATCTGTGTTTAATCTAACTGCGAGGATGGATTAATCATGATTACCACAACTAAGATAATGGGATATCTGTATTTAATCAAACTGTCAGGATGGATTAGTCATGATTACTACAACTAAGATAATGGGATATCTGTATTTAATCTAACTGCGAGGCTGGAATAGTCATGATTACCACAAGTAAGATAATGGGATATCTGTGTTTAATCTTACTGCGAGGATGGATTAGTCATGATTACCACAACTAAGATAACGGGATATCTGTATTTAATGTAACTGCGAGGCTGGATTTGTCATGATTACTCCAACTAAAATAACGGGATATCTGTACTTAATCTAATTGCGAGGCTGGATTATTCATGATTACTACAACTAAGATAATGAGATATCTGTGTTTAATCTAACTGCGAGGCTGGATTTGTCATGATTACACAACTAAGATAAGGATATCTGTATTTAATCTAACTGCGAGGCTGGATTAGTCATGGTTACCACAACTAAGATAATGGGATATCTGTA